ATGACCAGGCTAAAATTGTCTGTTATTCAGATACTGACTGGTAGGATCTCCTTCTGATAGAAGATCTACTTTTGGATGTTGTGTTTCCATTGGAAGTAACTTAATATCTTGGAAGAGCAAGAAACAAAGTGTTATGGCAAAATCTAGCGCAGAAGCATAATATAGAGCTATGACCTCAGTCACTTGTGAACTTGTTTGACTTAAACAATTGCTTAAAGAGTTACAATTTGGAGATGTCACTCAAATGATACTTATATGTGACAATCTACTCCTTAATATTAGCTCTAATTCTGTCTTTCATGAAATGACCAAACACATTGAAGTTGACTATCATTTTATTCGAGAAAAGATTTTATCTAGAGAATTAAGATCGAGTTTGTTAATTTAAGTGAACAGTTAGTAAATATTTTCACTAAGTCTTTATGGGAACTTAAAATTGATTATATTTATAACAAACTTTGTACATATGATTTATATACATCAGCTTGAGGGGGAGTATTATATGTTTTAGATATTTTAGATATTATTTAGTTGTATGACTCTTAATTATAAATATATAAACTTATGTATATTTTAGACATAAGAGAAATTAACCTTATACCTAATTTTTCTAAATATTCAACAACAATAATATTTGCTCTGAGATGGCTAGATTTAATTCAAATTTTTTTTATTTTAGCCCTGTTAGCTGCATTCATTGGACATCTGCTGCACAATTATCATTACTTGAAGATGAGATGCGCAGTGTAGAAAGAGTCAATGTAAGGCCTTAGTTATAACATGAGTTTTTCAGAGTTTTCTGTCTTCACAATCTCTACCTTCAGAAGATAATTTCATCACCTCTTCAAAACAAGAAAAATCTTCACTTCTTTTTTGGTACATGCTTTTGAAGTTTTCAAATACGAGTTTCATAACTGTTTTCAATTCTTTTTTTAACATTATCTGGAACTACAAATGCATATGATCATGTAAATGTTTGATACTTTTATATATCTACTGACTCTTCTATGAGCAGGTTGCCCTAATGCTATCAGGAATGGGAACGGCATCAATTGATGTTTTCAGAATGGTAAGAATAATGAAATTTATACAGGATTATTTAAATGTTTACAGGTTTTGTTCTAATAATGTTTTCTATCTACATTTGGTGGACATTTGTGGGTTGATGGGGGGTTTCTTAGGTTGCAAATCTCAGTATCATATTCTGCCCAATGTATACCTTATTAATAGACCATGAATTGAGATATTTGTTCTGACTTTTAAAACAATGATTAAAAGGTAAAACTAACATGAATTGATAAACCATTTTCTTTTCAGAATATTCAAACTCGGATATTTCAATTTTTTAACTTATAGTCATAGATTTGAGATGATTCTTAATTTTCAAGCAAATTAAATCCTGTAATGCTATTCTTGTCTCACATGATCTGCATGTATTATTGACAGGCAAGTTCAAGATGGGAAAAGAGGCAGTCAAAAGTCTTGGTTAGAACGCTTATATTCAATGCCTTCATTTTTTGTTTAATGTCAAGAGTCACTTATTTACATGCAATTAATCTCATGATTATGTTTATTTCTTCGCTTGATTATAATGTTGTTATTTCTGGGTTGGCTCTGCATCATATTATTTTTTTAAAATACATAAATGAAGAATAGTTTAAGCATTCCAATGATGCAATCCATAGAGGTCCACGCAACTAAAAGAACGTTTTACTTGTGCCATGATATTCTTCACTATAAATAGGAGGCTCTACATTTTATGGTGATGCAAAAACTGCATCACAATACACAACTGGTACAAAATTCATGATTATATATGTTGGACCAAACTCTTGATCACAGACGAAGGACTTACAAAATCTTAAATTTGTTATGAAATTCCAGTGCTGCTTCAGAGTTCTAAAACATGTGAATCACATGACTAATTTAGTTTCAAGCACGATCAAATACTCATGAGCTTGTTGCAGGAAAAAGCAAAAATGAGAATGATGAAGCAAGAAGGTTCTGATAAGAAAAATTCATACTGGGACGATCTGTGGGGCAAACAAAAAGACTATCAAAGTTCAGGTACGGGGATGTGAAACTACAAAGGGGATATAAACTTCAAATTGTTGGAAACTATAAAAATCTGATTTCCAAAATCTATGTTAAGATCCTTTTAAGTGTTGTATTGCTTCAATACTTCTTGGTTATTTAGTATTTATATATGTAATTTCTAAAGGTTGAAGTTTCTCATAGAAAAATTGTCCCTAGAAGCCATGATGACGAATGTGCTGTGACAATTACTGTAAAACAAGGATTATATTGATTATTCTATATAGACTTTGAAGGGTAATTATTTTGCAGAGGAGGAAGTAGAAGAAAGAGAAAGAAGAGCTGCTTCAGCAGCAAGAAGATGGAGGGAATACTCAAGGAGGGGTGTTGATAAGCCTCCCACATTTAAACTCCCAGAAGCAAGCCCTTCCAAGGAAAAATGATCACTACTTGATCTACCATCTATACAATTTACTCCCATGTAATTAATTCATTTATAGTCTCTCATGAAACTAATGAGATCTTTCTCACTTTACTATCCATGATTGTATATGCAGCAACTATAGTAATACAAGGAGAAAATATAAGAAAGCTAGTTTATAATTGTCATTGCTCAACAACAATGAACCACTTTGGTTAATTAGATGAATTGTTGAACATAGTAATCAGTTTGAGTGGTTAATTATTCTTGAACAGATCATGTAGTCTGTTTAAGTGGAATCAGAGCTGTTTACCTTTGAATTGCATAACAAATATGAACAACCCATGATTGTTATTTCAGTGTGAGAAGCTAAAACAACTATTAAGCATACAACTTGGTTTTTGAAGGATATATTTTTAAAGATTATTCAACAATAACTTTTTCTTGAAGCATGGTAATAGAATATTCTTTCACGTGGATCATAACATATACACATTTTTTGTCTGCATAATAATTTCAAACGACTTTTCTCTTTAACCCTCTTTTCAAATTCAAAAATGTAACCCCATAGACGAACATGAAATGCAAAATGCCCGAGCAAAACATAAAATTTATGTGAGGTGATGTGTGATAAATGTTTTTGACAGCATATGAACCAACCATATAGAATGTTTAAGATAACTTCTGGGTTGGTTAGAACAACCTGAGTTTGTGCATGAGTAAGCAATTTTTTGTGGTATGATCAGAAATTCATTAGCATTATTATAGCATCCTAAAGAGCACCAGTATTGTAGCCCACAACAATACTCGAGAAAATATACTTTTCCCTCACATAAAGATGTTTATATTTGACTTTTATGTATGGAGTTTCTCAATGATGTATGTTTTGAAGAATATTTAGCACCAACTTGGTTGATTGTGCAACTTTTTTCTTCTGGTAGTCTAAGTTTTGATTTGAAATAGTCTATCGCATTAAATAAGAGTCTTCAGTCACATTTCTTACCACAATCAGCAATTTTTATCAACTCTTCATATTTAATTATATTAACTGATGTATATACCAAAGATATTATATATATATATATATATATATATATATATATATATATATATATATATATATATACGCGCAACTTTTCATGTTGTTTGATGAAGACTAGGATCAAGATTTTCTTTTTCCTTTTTGGGAGAGATTTTCAAATAAACAATTGTGAAAAAAAATTAACACAAAAAAAAAAACTCATTAAAATGTGGGTAGAAAAAATTGTAATCACCGAACTTAATGATGACTCGGATGTACAAGTATATGATGAGAATTATTTAATAATAAAAAAAATTTCTCCTATAATTTGTCTTTCACATTCATTGATAACGAGATGATTTTCTAATTATATGGGAAGAAATCAAAGGATTATTCTTCTTAAATTGTAAGATGCATTTTATATAATATAGATAATATAGTAACTTAAGAATGAAAAAATAATTATTTAAAGTATAAATAAAGAGACATTAACTTATTGTAATTATAAATTTTTCATCATTAATTATCCTCGGAAATTGTACTCTTATCACATCCTCTGCATTTTAGAAGAATTGAATCCAAAAGCTAAAAGAAAAGTGAGACCTACATTTAGAGGAAGGTTTGGTGAAATATATATTTAGAGTTAAAAATACCCAAATTGGATGACTATATATACTTTTTAAAAACTCTTTGCTTAAAGTAAAAGCTTGTTTATTTTGTTATTTTAAAAGCTATGCAAAAATACCAAAAAAGTCAATTTGATCTAAAAATTGAGAAACATAATCATTAAATATAAGTTTGAATTTAATCTCTAACCTCTTTAAAGAATGCTTTTTTGAGTGTTGTCTGGTACAATCATGAAACCCCATTTGGCAGTGGAGTTGCATGAGTGGATGGAAAGTGGAGATGAATTCCTTTTTATTTACCTTAAAGTCCGATAACAATGGATCTTAACTTTAGATAATAGAACATTATACTAAAAGTGGCTCCATCCACTCAAGTGTAAATAATTACTAGTGGCCCTGCTTATCTTCTTGTTTCTATCACTAAACAACATTGTTTATTCAATTTGGGTTGGTGAGAGCCTGTGTCAACCACATCATTAAAAACCTAATGTTCAAATTATTTGAGTTGTTCAATTATCTAGAAAGGAGAAAACAAATAATTGAAGAAGCACCAAGAGTGTCTCAATGGACTTGAAAAAATAAACAAATAAAATTCTTTAGGCAGAATTATGTTCCAAACAAGATGGAAAAAATGGACTAAAACAAAACAAATATCAAGCCATATCTCTCTGTCTAAATGTATCTTCTCTTCATGTCATATGCTTCATTTTGCAAACTAATTGATGAAAACTGCACATGGGGAAAATAGGGGAAAAGGGTACAAATTACAAAATATACCTTTGGAAATGTACATCTATGATTGAAGATAGAGTCAAACATATACATCTAAGGACTTTCAGAACAAAAGAAACAATTGTTGTTATCAGAACATCCACCAGATAAGAAAACTCATTCATTGTTATCTTACAATGGATGCTACTGTATGAGCCCAGAACCTGAGATTGTCCTTCATGTCTATCTCATTGCCTACAACTGGTACCCTCCAATTTAGCAGTGGATTCACAACCTTCTTTTGGTCTAAAACATCCCAAGCTTCAGACAAATAAGGCCTGCAAATCATATCTTCATCAATGTTCTGTTGTGAACTCACTCCTTTTGCATCCTCTCTTCCTAGTCTTTGCAACCCTGGTATCAAAGAAACCAATTTTGAGTCCCTGTCTTCCTCAGAAAACACAAAACCCAAATCCATAAACCCTTTTAGCTCCTTGAACTCAAGGTCTGACAGGCTCCTAGTTGTTTTTCCTTTTCTGAATCTTCTTCTTCTATCACTATGACTAACTTTTTTCACAGTGACTACTTCTTCATGCTTTCCACTACCTTCTTCCAGGGGAAAATCTTCCACTTCCTTCCCAGAAAGAATTGGCCTCAGCTTCTGTGGTGTGAGGACAGAGTTTGGTGATGGAAAATCAGAGAAAACACCTACACTTGACTCCAAGTTTTGATCACTAAGAAACCTCACTTGAAGTGTTGGAACTCTGAGGAGCTTTGAATCAAAAGGAAGCACTTCCTTCACAAGGGCCTGAGAGGTCATCGAGTCCAGTGTTGAATGAAAAGGTGAAGAGGTTTTGTTGGTGAAAATTGTTGTCTGAAACCAGAAGGTATCCAACAATTTCAGAACTTGTTCTGCATCCATTCCTTTGGTTCCAATGAATGCTTAGCAAATGTTGTTTGGTGAAAAGAGAAGAAGAATTGCTTGATTGCCCCATACTTTATGCATTTATAGCTACCATTTTATTGCAATATGCACTGCTGTGTCTAAAGCCCTTTTGTCAATATTTTGGTTTAAAATCTATTTTTAAAATAATTTATGCTATTTAATATTAATTCTTATTAAAAATTGAGCAAGTGTTGGAAATAATTTTAAACAAATGTTTAAAAAACTAAAATACAGAAATAAATGGAGGGTGTTTTCTCATCTCTTCTGTCTTGTGATCCTAATTCAATGATGTGGGGCATCTAAAGTAGTGAGGTATGAACCTTGATATGCGTGAATGGTAGTTTTTGTTTAGTTAAAAAAAGAAATAAAACACACCCATAAAGTTTGAATTATTGTATTTGCATCTCTCAATAATGCAAAATGCTTCATTCACACTCGTAATTCTTTATTATTTTCCTTTATTTCCATATTTAGTGGAGTTAAAACTAATTATCTGTCCAATAGTGATCTAGTTTTAAATTTTCAAGAAAATCAAATTACTGTTCAAAAAAACTAATTGACTTATACTTTAAATGTACAATGAAATATTGATTCTTTTTCTTAATTTTTCTCCAAAACAATACTCCATTTGTCTCATTAAAAATGTAACTATTGAAAGAATAAAATAGTTTTAAAAAGTGTTTATTTATTGTCATTTTTAATCAAGGTAAAAAAAACTGCAGTTATTATAAGAAAACAGAGAAAATATATAATTAAATGTAAGTCAATCATGTTATTTCACATATGAATTAATCTATATAAATATAGGTTGTATGGCTAAGTTCATTTAACCCCAATTAAACTATCTTATACCAACTTGTTTAATTAACATTTTAAAAAAAATTATTTATTTATTAGAAGGTAAGAATTTTAATTTTGCTAGTGTTTGATATGCCTTGCCAATATTCTTATTCAAATATCAAGTGACATTCTTAAATGTGAAATGCATTAATGAGTCAATATGCAAAATTAACTACAAGAACCTGAACATGGTATGGTTGAAACATTTTAATGTTTTTCAGTTGTTAGGTGTTAGTTGAAACAATAAATAACCTGTAGATGAATAAGAAAGGGATAGACATGATCAATAATTTTCTTGTCTCATTTATTTTGCAGATTATTAATTTTTTTTTTTTCACTTATGGCAATTAATACATGAACGTGAATGACTTGGATTTCAGATTATTATAATATGTATAGTTTTCTTTTTTTATATTTTTTTTCTCTGGGTATTAGGATGAATAATTATTTAGTTTTGTTCGTTCCTAAATTTAGAGGAGGATCGAGTTTTTGTAATTTTTTCTGAATATATTAAGGGTGACAGGAACATCTATAAAAGATGAATAAGTAAATAATAAAAGAGATGCAAAATATTTTATACATGAGTATAAAAATGTAATTATATAACTATCTAAGAATCAATGAAATTTTATATTCCTATTTTATCCGCATGTAATAATTATATCATATGTTAACGAAAATTTGTATTTGTCCTATTTGTTAGATCGAGTAGATTTCATATTTTTTTATATTTTTTATAATTATAAAATGATTAAATAAAAATAAATATATTAATCTCTTGAAAAATATTTAAAAGAGAACAAGTTTGGATGTAGATTGGTGACAGTTAGTTCAATGCTTAATATAAACTAAATCACTCACTTTCTGTTAAGAAATCCATGCTAAAATATGTAGGATTAAAAAATTTATATGGATATTAAAATTCAAAGGAAAGAAAATTGAAATTTTAACACAAACGCACAACATTTAAATAGAGGAATTTAAGGAAAGAAAATGTAATCGTACAATTAGAAAAATAATTATTTAATATAATTTTAGAAACATTAAAATATTAAAAAAAGACAAAAGGAAACTAATTATATTTTAGTGTCTTTAATACTAAAATATAAGTAAATATAGTAATATTATTTTAATATTTTCAAAGTCTTGATCATATTTTTCATATTTAAAAATATTAAGAGTGGAATATATCTTAATAGAAACACTACGTGTAATGTAAGCCCTACTTCACCTAAAACATTTATTTGAGTTTTAAATATTTAGGCTAAAATTAAATAGTTTACAGACCAAGTCATTAGTCTAGGAACCAAACCTGTATAATGTAGAGGTTATGTGGATGAAGTTGAAAAGACTTGTATTTAAATAAACTCCATATATTTTTACAAACACTAACTTACATTTATAATTTAAGAAGAAATTCTAGTTATTTCTTCTAAAATTATGTTAAATAAGACTTTTTTTCTATTTTTAAAATGAACATTCATCTCTTTTATATTTTTAATTAAAATGTTATTTAAATTGTTTTTCTTTAAAATAAACATCTTATCCTTATATTTTAAATGAATTTTACTATTGTATAGTTACTTCAATCCTAAACCTTAAAAAAATAGTATAGTTTTCTTATAATAATAGTATTATAAATATTTTATAAATTCTAAATTAGTTAAATAAAAAAAGTAAAATAGAAGTTACAAATAAATTTTATTATTTTAATTTTCATGAAAATATAATTTAAATAGCCTCTTTAATAAAGAATAAAAGTTTAAAATATAAAAATATGAGGAACTATATTTTATTATTTTTTAAATAGTATAAAATAACATATATTTTTTTATATGAAAATAATGATAAATATTTACTTTAGTATAACTTAATATATTTTATTTTTTATATATAATTAATTATTTTGATAAATTTTAATAGTTATAATTATGAAAATTTTAATTATATATTATAAACGATGATATTATTAAATGATGTGAATATTTATGTTTATGATTTTTTTAATTGATTTGTAAAAGAAAAAATATATTCTTATAATATATAAAAATTAGATAAGATATTTTAATTTTACTATATATATTATAATTATTATATTAAAAATAAAATATTTTAACTATACTAAAATTATCATATTTATAAAAAAGTTATATTTTACCAAGGAATATAATCCCGTTATTATTTTTCTATGAATGAAACTTGATATATAAGTGAGAAACATGAATCAGAAAGGAAGATTTTTTTCCACCGAAGTTCACGGGCATTTCATAAAGAGACAAAAGATTCAGCAATAATTGCATATCATTGACTCTTATATTTTTAAATCACGTGTGTAATACAATATGAACACCAAACATAAATAGATATCTTAACCAATATTCTCCTTTATTTTAATTCTGCTTTTTTTTAGGGCATTTTCAATATTTTGGAAAGAAAAGAGTCCAAATTTTCATTTCAAGGAAACACTAGTTTATTTTTAAAATTAAAAAATCGTATAACTTTTTAATAAATTCTCTTTTAAAAAAAATGTGTAATAAATCTCTAATTTAATTTTTATTTACTAGATTAGAAAAGAAAAAATAATGGCGTGCAAAAAAATAAAATAAAAGAGAGTTGTTTTCTTAAAATGGTGGTTATAAAAAGAAGAAGATGCAAGCCCACACATATTAATAGAAATGGGCCTTACTTGAAAAAAAAATTATGAAACATTTTGGACTAAAAAAAATGTTACGAATTAGAGAATATTTTTTTATGGGTATTTTTTTCTGAAATTTAAATTAAAAGATAATAATAAATTTAATTATGATTCGTGCAGAATGATTAGACTTTATATATTGAGTCTTTCGGGGTCACATAAATTAGTCATAGAAATTTAGTGGCAGTGTTCTAAAATTTTATATTATTTTTTGAGGATATAAAATTTTATTTGATGATTTTTTATATTTTTTAATAAATTTTAATTAATAACGAAAATGTTTTAAAGTAAATAATTACATTAGAGTATGATGATATCATTATCTTTCATCTTTACTAATTAAGTTTGATTATAATATAACAATTTGTCTCCATAAACTGTCTCAGTGTAAAAAGAGCTTTAAAATATATTTTTTTATTTTTTACGAGTTTAAAAATACTTGTAATTGATCATCGATAATACAAAAGAACTTAGATTGACAATTAATCGAATTAAATGTTATTAATAAGTGAATAATTTATACTGTAACTTAAATTAAAAATTGTTGTGTTACTTTAATCATATAATTAGAAAAGTGCAACTTTACGGAAAAGAAAAGGCAGTACAAACACTTTACAATACATTTATCTTTGTCCTTTCTTTAATTCACATTTTTTTAAAATGGTATTATCATGGTTACTATTTTATTTATGAAATTAAATTATTTTGACTTTTCACACGTGAGAAAACATATAAGAAAAATTACAATAATTTCACGTAAACCTACTCAATTAATTTAATTTAAACATAATTCGATTAAAAATATTAGTAATTATATAATTTAATTTCAATCATCAATGAGTCAACATTTAAGATCATGTTACTAGTAATAATTCTATGTCTTAGACAAATAATAACAATTAGACATTTCATAACTATTAATTATATAAATAAAAGAATAATTATATTCATTTACTTTTAATTACTTAGAAGACAAAATAATCATTTTTATAAATAAAATCAATCTTTCAAAGACATATTTGGTGTACACCCAACAATACACTATTTCTTCTCCTTTTCCTGCATTTACACATTGAGAAAGTTGAAACAATAAAAATACAATTACTCATGAAATTAAAAAAAAGAGTAAATAATCATTCAAATACATGAAAAACTAAATAGTATTAAAAAAAACTACGACTAAAATCTTAATATATCTTACAGTGAATTTCATAAATGAAAGAAAACTATCTCTCAAACTATCACAAAAATAAAGAAAAAAATAAAGATACAAATTATAATTTATTATAATTTAGATGTATGAAAATTAAAGAAAATAATGTGTATAAATTATTATTTTTGACTAATAAATTATGTGAGAACATAACATATTTTTCTTTTGTCATTTTTGTTAGACAAATGACATATAGAGGGGGTGAATAGATGTACAAATTAAAATAGA